TTTTCTTCACGATCGCTATAACACTCAGTTTTAACAATGACAGGTGAACAGTTCCTTTCCGAAACGTCTCTAGAATGTTCTGCGTTATCCAAATTCTCCAGCTCAGCGTTAGCAAACAATTTTGCTAGTTGGATCTTCATTAGCGCCTGTTGTCTTCCTGATAATGTTTTAAATGTGCTCGAGTAACTAAGAAACAGGAGGTCAGTTGCGTCCATTTCGCTCAATCTTTGAGTCTTAGTGTCAATGCTGGTCCGTACCTCTTTAACTGCTTGGAATTTGAATGGGTTTTCGTCCTTCGAAGACAACGGCACTAATGGCGGCGGTGTCGCCATTATCGACGGCAACTCCTCACGAAGCGGTTTCTGAGGCTTTTCTTGAGGCTTAGAACTTTTTAATGTCGCTGGTTGTGGTGAATAAGAGTTTCTGTCATTGATCTGTTGATAAAAACTTCTTCTATTCACTTGGTGGTTTTCCAAGAAACTTAAATGTGAAGCCCAGATGTATTCGATGGGTTTCTTGCCAGTCTTACGTTTTAACAGCTTCCTATGTTTTATGTAGCTATCTCTCACTGTCTTCCATTTGTGTCTGCAAGCCTCAGCTAGAAAGATTACAACAAATCAGTATTCTGACAAGAATATTATGTTGCGATTTTTGTACCCACCTAATGTATAAGAATGGTCTTATCTACGGAATATATCTAAATGATAGAATATCAGTATAAACAATACATTAGTAATCGGCCTCACTGAATCACACATTTCACTTTTTACTTAAATCGTCAATTGGATATAAACATGCAGGTAAGTACTTACAAGATTCGTTTAGTTCGCTCCCAATTAATTCCCACGTGGCTGTTTTAAGACTAGGGTTTTTGTAATCTCTATGACTGATGTCGTAAAGGAATACATTTTGTCTTACTAACTCAATTAATCGCCCCACGTCCATTATTAACAGGTATTTGTAATATTTATTGTTAGAATTCCAAATTCAAACTGTACGGGTTCCCCGTGCTGTATGTACAAGCAAACTGTCTGCGTTACGCTAGCGTCCCGTCGCGTCAAGCCCGCCCCGCCCCGCTACGCTCCGCTCGGCGCCATTGCTCGGTAGCCCGCTGAGTTCGGCTGAACTTCGTAAACCGATGCGTCGGGTAAGTATGAACCGCGGCGCGGCGTTGCCAAATCGACACGACGCGAGACGCGACTACGAATGTATATTAGGTACTTACTTACCTACATACATACAACCTTACACTAACATAATATTATTTTTGATCATAAAATTATTCGAAGAAAACCACGTTCGTAGGGTAACAATACATAACCTCAATGACTTTCACCCGACCTTGAAGTTATTATGTCAGTGTAATATAATTGTATAAGTAACATTAGGTACTTATTCAATATCATAAATGCGAAAAACAACTCACGTTGGTTACACTTTCACCGCCCAACCTCAATGCTGGCTCAATTTTGATGAGTCGTTATTGAAGATGCAACTAAGAAATTATTTATTTCACTGAGAAATACGTGTAAATTAGAAATTAATCCGCAGCCCCGGCCCGGAACTGAAGAAGGAACGGGTGGTTTTTAGTCAGTAAATCTGATATCCCTCTAGCGTCACACAGGGGGAGAGAGAAGCCATTCGATGATTTTTTCCTTAAAAAAAAACAATACAATAACTTCGGTTACCTACCTAAATTTAAATAAATTTACGAAAATTCGTAACGTAATTTGTTTTCAATTAAAAACAAATGATTGCCTAATCCGGTTCGAAGTTTAGAGATAATATAAACGATACAGTTGAGCACCGTTCCAATTTCTGCGTGAAACGTATAAAATGAATGGCGATTAATAATTCAACGACGGATTTGTTAGTATCACTCGGCTCGGCCCGTTACTAGAACAGTTTTATTGCGATAAAATGTTAAATAAGTAACACAGAGTTTGAACCACAGAATATTTATACTGCATTTATGTTTTTTCTATCAATGCTAAGTAGGAGGTATTAGGTATTAGATACTATTAGGTATCTACCTACATTATTCGTTTATCATGACTCTTTACTGCATATAAACTGTCGTTTTAAATATTACTCTTGAGACATATGTATTGTACATATTATTTTATACCTATCACTTCTGAACGTCATTACATTAATATAAAACCATAGACTAATCAAAGTAAGAAACGTGTTTTATTTTGAGGTTAGATTTGGCGCGATGTATGTCGTCATCGTCATATCATTGAGGGTCGACGAACGAGTGTTTACCTAAACTAGAGTAGTTAGCTAGTAGCTAGCTAGATATACTTCACTGTTTATAGAAAACATGACGTTTACAAACTGTAAGATAAAAAAAAACTATGTTATGCACACGTGTTTATTTCGAATGCATCATTTTTTTAAAGTGACGCAGTGGTTTGATAGTCTGTGGTCGTTATGGAATGGAGACATTGTTTTATGAAGATAGTGCCACATTCTTAAGTTTTGATAAGTTTCAAAAAAAAAAGACACTCTCGATTTCCATTTTCAACAAAAAATAAAGAATTTGTTCTGGTATAGAAAGACGTTTGCTTGACTTAACCGCAGTAGACATTCTAGACTGGATTATAATAAAATAAAACCATTTTATTTCGATATTCTGTCTTACATTATTACACGCAACCTATCACCCGATGCGTCATACAGATTGTGACCATTACAATGCACAAATATAATTTATTAACGTTTTAATTAATCAGATTGTAAAGGACAATGAAATTTGTTGTATATAGTACTTTGTAATCAGTCAATCAATTATCGAATTCGGTCAAGCAGTTTTGTTACTAGTATGACAATTTATTTTCTTGCAAAAATCCTGAATATTGGAATATCTGATAAGTAAATGTAAATTATATTTCTATAAGTACATATTCGATGGGTCATTTAGAACGAACACAGTGGCAGAAAACAATACATAATGAACAAATTATTTATTTGTTCGTAATATCAAACCTTTGACAGTTTGGCAGTTTTATTAACATTTTTTTATAGCACATAATTAGTTTGAATTAAACGGCATGTGCCATAGTAATTACATGAACTACGTAGAAATGGCGATGACGTCATGAAACACCTGCTTTTTACGACTTCGGGACATATATGTTGTAAAATAATGAAGACATTAAAATATGGTGTAGTTTTATGTAAGCACATATTGACAGCTGTTTCACATGGACAATGGATGACCAGCACCAAAAGACATATTAAAACAAGAGTCCAAACAAATTGCATTTAAAAAAATTACCCTTACATCAGAGCGCCGTAGAAAAAAAAGTGTAATGAAAGTAGGTTATATATTCTTTTCGTTTGTGAGAATTTATTTGTTTTTAATACTGGCTGTCTGGGTCAGAGTCCAGACGTTAAAAAAAAGACAACAACAAAAGGTTATGTATGAATCTAAATTACATTTTGTTTTATATTTGTTTTTTACATTTATTTGTTCAGCCTGTGTATAGATAGACGGTTTTCGTAAAATTAAACACGAATGTACGAACCGCATAATAGTTATAAAATAAAATCCACGCTTAAATTATGTTACGAAATAATATTATATTTTAGGTATTGTCGAAATGGCTATAGTGAGTTCTTCTCCACACCTCGGTCATCAAGTTTTTGGGAATGGGATCTTCGGAATTCATTCTGGAATGAAAGGATATAGGATGAGGGGATGCATGCATAGGCAGATATTCAAGCGGGATGTAAAAACTACTTTTGAGTAGTAACTATCGTAAGAAAAGCTCAACTAGTTTCAAGGCAATACGGGACTCTTAGTCATGAGCAGCGTGCACGTTGCGGCGACGTCGCGCATCTAACTGACTACTCGAGATTAAAATAAAAATCCCGTTGTACTAGTAGAGCATTTCCCAAGTTATTCACGTGAGTAATTCCTTATCTTCAATAAAATCAGGATATAAAAACGATAACGGTATTCCTGGAAGACGGATACAGAAAATAAAAGGTCTGTTTCAATACTAATTCCCGTTACAAAAGAATATATCTAATAGTAATAGGGGCTTGGGTGCCGTCCCGGATACCTGCGTTGCCAGTTACAGTACCAGCTCATCTGACCGGTTATACTGTTTCCAATCCCCGACTAGCAGTAAAACTGTAAAACTAAGATGAACAAACCAGCCGACAATATTATTGTTTAATTGAATTTCTACTTAGAATATTTATGGAATATCAACTAACTACGTAAGGCGAATCCTACAAGAAATCCTACAATGTGAAACTCTGTGGCAATGTATAGGTGTATTTTTTAGTTAAACTTTCACGCTAAAACGGCGGGACCGATTTGGTTGAAATTTGTTGTGTAGATAGGTGATAACCTGGATTAACACATAGGCTGATTTTCATCAACATACCACGCGGGCGAAACCGTAGGCAGAAGCTTATATCTAATAACGTTATACATGTAGAACTTTCTAGAAAGTAGCTAATGAAAAGTCACGTGTTCCTGATCTCCACGGTTAGTACCTACGTTTCATTTTACAAAAAGAATGCATCAAAGGAATACCATTGACCGTGGCTGAATATAAAATGAAAATGGTCACAATTTTCAACGGAACTAAATTGAACGGAACCAATTTTCGTTGGGTTCGAATGAAGCGTGCAAAGTTGCAACGTTGCTTCACAAGTGTACTGCAGACGTACAAAACACTAGTTACAAGTGAATAAGTTGATATCCCGATGTCGATTCGCCATTAGTCTTAAAAATGACCTGGGGGCCTCGAATTAGAGATTGTCAGCCTATCTCTATTTAAGTTAAGTTTCATAAATGCAGTGAAATCTACATTGGCGCCAAAATGAGAATAACGAAGTAAAAGGAACTAAAACAAGTGAGTATTCTGTCGTTTGTACAGGCGAGATGAGAAGCGAAGTGGTGTGACTTTCGAGATGAGATTTACCATTAACAGAATAGTACTGCAGTTCTGGGTATGTATGTGGGTTTAAGATGGTACCTGTGCATTGGCTGTGTCCGTTGCGAGTACTGCGCCATGGCTCGTGATGCGCAGCAGGCATGGCTAGGCGGCGCGCATGCCGCGGCGGGCGCGGCTCGCTAGCTGCGCGCCATACCGGCGCTACGTCGCACAACACACACAAACACGGATGCACACGACACACCACTGCACACGACCGACACGACCGACGACACTGCACCGATAACCTGCAGACAATAAATTCTAGTTACAAAACTGTATTAATCCAAACTAATATTATAAAACTTAATATGATAATGGTGAAAGTGATTCTGTCTTTCTGTCGGTCTGTCTGTCTTTTCTTCGCGCCTAAAGTACTAAATTTTGTGACAATTTGTGTGAAATTTGGTATAGCTATAGTTTGGAACTTGAGAAAGGGCATAGGATAGTTTTTATCCCGAAAACACCGCAGGAATGGGAACTATGTGGGCAAAAAGTCACTATTCCACGCGAATGAAGACGCGGTCAAAAGCTAGTCAGATATATTTCAGGGACAAGTACCTCTGAATAGACTCTACCCCCAAACTCGATACATCTTTCCTAAATAAATTACACCTGGGGATTGAAGTCAAGAGTTTTGTCTGACAGCCAAGCATCGATCACCAGACTGATGAGGTAGTTTCGTGTCAAAACTTTTCAGTGAGATGTCAACATTGAGTTATGAGGGCCTTGCATGTCCCAAATAAGTAAAATAAAAGGTCTTTTCGATTCGCAAAGCAATCATGTTTAGTTCGGTGACTCGTAGAGTAGTCAAAGACCTGTTTTTAGTAATAATAAATACAGAATGAATCACGGAACAGATTCCGTCAGGTAGGCTAAACTAGTTAAAGTAAATTTTCCATAAATTTAAATGTAAAAATTTCTACATTTCCATTAAATACTAAAAGCCTGGCCATTTAAAATTATTGTTTTGTATAGATTTTCCTGCCTTTCACACGAATGACTCATATGAATATAGGTTATTTTTAAAAAGGAACTGAATGCCGATTCGTTTATGCTTCCAAGTTTCGGCAATCAGGTTTCTAAGTGCTAATCAAAGCTAAAAAAAATGAAGCGGGTTTTTGTTCGTATGCATTTAAGGCATGGGAAAAATTGGAGCGATACAAAATCCGAAACTTGCGTGTTGTACCTCCGAAAGGAATTCACGATGTGTTACAAAAAAAAAAAAAAAAAAATACAATGCTTCCACAATTTTTGTGAACAGCGCTCACTACAAAGCTTACGATTATGGACCCCGATATGGCTTGAAACTAGTCGATCATATTTTTAGAAAAATTTACATGAAGACGTCATTGGATTATCCCACGATAATTATTATAAGAAAGCAATATGTTTACCATTATTTTGAAACTATCTACGTAGGCAGGTGAAAGACGTATTTATTTTTAGCGTGGGCATTAAAACCTTTTTTATCGTAACTGCAAAATAACGGGTTAAGGTATCCCGACGTCTTTCTTCGTAGGAATTTCATTAAAGGAGTTAGCGAGGGATTCTATGAATATTATTGGTCATCTAGTCATAAAACCAAAGGAAAAAGTAACAAAAGATGTAAAAGATAGATAGAAAGAAAATAAAATGTTCTGTGTTCTTTGTACAAAGCATTTCTCATAAGATTGGGTGCAAAACCTGCGTGGTATGCAATTGACGTCACTTATTGATACCCATCTCACCAGAGGAGGGACAAATGCGTTGCCGGTCGTTGCAGTTTTGTTTTCTTATTACCTAGTTGTCACCAAGTCCAATTACACTTTTATCCTTTTAATGTTTCTTTTACTCAAAAACTGTTGGACTGATTTGGTAGAAATTTTGAATGTGGATAGGAGATACCTTTTATTAACACATAGATTTGCTTTTATCAACATACAACGCGGGCAGAAGCTATTATTATGTAATTCTACAGCCAAATCTACGAAGACATGTCAAGCGACAAATTTCCAGCAGGCTGTGTATATTTCCACTCCCAGAGCCTCGACACTGACATTTCACATGGCAACACTTTGGCAATCCAATTACATAAACCAGTGGCATCGTGTGGCCACGTATTTGCAGCTCATATTTCTCCTGTCCAGTTAGTATGTCAGCCATTGGACAGAAAGGTGATCGTGTTTTGTTCTAATCGCTGTCCGTTAGTACGTCGAGTGTAAATTGTTAATGAAGTCATTACAACATGCATGCGGATTGCGGTAGCCGCAAACGCTATTGCACAAACTTTTTGAAATTTGATAGGTATTACTTATATCTTGAGAATATTTTCAACGTCACCTACAGTTTATGGTTTAATCATCATCATCAGCCTATAAGTGCCTACTGCTGAGCAAAGGCCTCTTCTCATAACGAAAAGGTTAGAGCATTAATCGCCACGCTTGCTCAATGCGGGTTGGAGATTTCAAACTTATAACTAGAAATTATAAGTCTAGGTTTCCTCACGATGTTTACCTTCACCGTATGTCAGTGGTGTCTAAATAATCATAGAAAGTACATATAACTCGGAAAAGTCACATTGGTACTCGCCAGGTTTTAGAAACCACAACCTCATGCATGAGAAGCGGGCTCCTTAACCTCCGGGCCACCACCACGAATCTCTAATACGACCAGCAGATTTATCAGCCGAAAAAAAAAACATGGTTGTTCAAACCTTTAAGTTATAACCTTCTTCGTGTACCATCTAAGAGTACTGGGCAAATCGAATCGTGTTCCAAGCACGGTGCAGAACACCAGAGACCAAATTCGCCGGCAGCTAAACGTCTAAGGTGGCTACGTCAAAATTAAGTTATACTTCGGTCGATCTTACCCCGAACCATAATAAAATTAGCAACAGTGCAGCAAAATGGGACGCAAGAGAAATGGCAGCGAAACGTTTATAGATCCAAACCGAAATGAATTTTGGTGCTAAAATAACGAAGTGGTTGAATAACAGTTATAGGAAACCAATAATGGATATGGCTGGCTGGCTATAAAATATAGGTCTTTCAGACAAAATCTAGGTCACAAGCCATATATACCTACGAACGAATTTCATTTTATTTGTGGCCATGTGATTGGGTTAATGGATCACGTATCTATCTACATCGTTCTCCCTTTATAGGGTAGTTGGTTCGAAAATTATTGGAGCGTAGTTTCTGAATTCTCTTTTCTTTTTTTATTGAACAGTCTTTTTATAAATATTTTCAGTGAACGCCTGCAAAAGAGCGTCAATGAGCTCCATTTAAAATCAATGATTATAGTTAGGTATGAAAAAGAGGAGCAAACTTTTTTTCTTTGTCGCTATGCGACTTTATATGGTCGTGAAAATCTGAATAGATGTGCTAAAATGATATAGGTATAAGACTCTTTGCTCAGGGGAGTGTGATTTTGAACTATTGAGATTAACAATTTCGAAATTCGCCTTATAAGTTTGGGCCTTATTTTTTAACATTAAGGTACCAATTGCTGCAAAATCAGAGACCATGCTCTCTTGCCAAGGTACACAAGATATTGATATTGAGGCTTTCCCTAACTAACATAATCTAATTTCTGAGGTCAGTGTGCCTTGAATGGAATGTAATCACCGGTTCAATCCCGCAGGACACAGTTAATTTACTGTTCTAGTTATTATGTATTATGCAACTATGAGGCCCATTACCCTAGAGACGATTAGGATTAGGCAAACACCTCAAGTTAATTGAGGATAAATTGAACTAATATACAATACGGCGACGTATCTTGGCGAGTCTGAAGTTAGCCGTTTGTCTGCGCAATGGATCTTTTAGGAACAAAATTGTGTACTGCGCAGCTAATCGGCTAACTTCAGACTCGCCAAGATACAACGGCCGTATAGTACCTACTTAATATGTATGTAGATACTACATTTTAAGTTGCTACGTACGTTTGGTATTCTCAAATTTTTTTATGTTCAATTGACAGTAAAAACAATTAAAAAAAAACAAGTTAATTTCATTTCGTCACCTGCTATGATTTTGCAACTACGCCCGCTTATCGGTATAGGTAAACGCAATACTTCTAGATATTTTGAAAACATTTTTAGTGGTTGTAAATGGTAGCTATGCAAGCTATACAAACATTATGACTCATTGACTTAAGTCGCACGTTCTTTCTAAATTGCAGCTTTATACTAGGTTTAGAAATGTAGAAGTAGTTCGAAACCACAGATTATAAAACAAAAGGTTTGAAACATTGGTATTTTGCACATACGACAAAAAAAACTGGTACAGATATCACTGAAATAGTGTGGTCATGTTCTAAAACTACTATCAACCAAGCGGTGCGGTCACCCTCTATTTTATGGTGAAGAAGCCCTTGTTCTACCAAGATGATAGAGAATAGTTTGATCTCTTAAACATACAGTGATCATCATACGTACAAATATTGTCACGCCAATGTTGCTAGGCAAATTTTACGATCCCGACAGGTCTTACTTTATTTATTCATTAGGTCGACCAGTAACTAAGTAATAACTAGACTTAAAATATTGAATATACAAACAAATATAAACCCCTCCATGTTCCAACCAGCCTCCCCCTCCCCACTACTAGCAGAGCAGAAAGGATTATCAATTCGCTCCGGTCAGCGGAGCGCTGATGATGATAAACGAAGAATAAGAAGACATTGTACCTACGTACGTTAATTCACATTAAAAATGGACAATGAGGGGACAAAATTCAATGCAAAACGAATTATTTTATTCCGAATGTCTTTTCTGTATTTTTAAAAAAGGAACTCTTTTATTATGGGACCCCCTTATTTTTATTTTGCTATGGTACGCAAAGGGGATCTTCTCTTCTACTTTTAGAATATACTTGAGTTCTCAAAAATTACTGAACGAATTTTGTTAAAAAAATGCAACTGTGAGGTATTTAGTAGATTTGTTGCACACAATACATGTCTGAGTACTCTAAGACAAGTTATAGGTGGAAAGAATGTTTTATTACCTAAGTATAACATAGGAAGAGGTGATTTACGTTTCTGTCGACCCTCATGTGATTTTTTATGGGTATGTATCAAATAATGTAGGTACAGCATAGTTCGTAACTAAAGTATACCTACAAGAATAAAATAAACAAAAGTGGATTTATAAACTAATGACTAAACTGATTCGCAAACTACTGCGTAATATAACTAGCTACGCAGTTATGTAGTTTTATGTTTGTGAAGCTTGATATCAGTTATTCAATAAATTATTTTCAGCTACCTGCATCTTCGCATGTCAATTTTGCCTTAATCTATACTAATATTGTAAAGAGGTAATATTTGTAAGCTTGTATGTAGGGAGTAATCTTTGGAACCGCTGGTCGGATTGCCAAAATTATTTCACTGATAGATAGCTACAATGTTCCTGAGTGCTATAGCCTATAAAACATCACGTTACGAATCGAAGCTTATATTGAAAAAACACTAAACTTATATTCATCGATCTGTCGATGCACAAAATTTCCAATTTTTTATAAGTGAGCTATTTACACAAAAATACTATGACGTCATAATTTAGAGTTACATACAAATTTCACAGAAAAATATGGCTTTTGACATTTGAATAAAAAATGTCAAAAGCCATATTTTTTATTTTTTTTTTAGTGTTGAATTTGACTAGATAGTTCGAAACTACCGTTATCATGAATATAACAAAAAAATTAAGGTACGTTATAAATTAAAATTCGTATTTGGACTGACAACTTTGAATTGTATTCATCATTATAAGGATCGAGGGTATACTGAATATAAAATGTTATTCTAGAATGAAATACTATTTATTTTAATAATACCTAAGTAATATAGGTGCTAGGTGCTAGAAGCAGAATTTCATAGATAGAACTCATTTGTTTTTTAGAAATGTTTTGAGTGATACGGTTTTTTAAGAGGTAGGTAGTTGTATTAAAATACTACACATAGAACCTTTTTTGTTAGTTTTTGTGTAAAGTACCGACATCATCGCTACGTAGTATTAAACAAAGTCAATTGCCGCTGTCTAGAACTTTGAAATTACGCGAGACTATGATGCGGTTTTGTTCAGTAGATAGACTGATTCAAGAAGGGAAGCTAGTAATAAATAACACTAAGCCACGTCAAAGTCCAATTTTGCAGGTATCATCATCACGCTCATGCTCAAGGTGGAATGACGATTTCAAACCTATAATTATAAATTGTTAATCTAGGTTTTTATCACCATGTTTTCATTCACCGTTTGTCAGTTGTCTTGAAATACTCTAAGAAATTGCAATCTGCTTAGAAAAGCCACGTTTTGAACCTTCATACATGAGAATCGGGAGCCTAATAACCTCCTTGGTACCACGACCACGACTTTGCACTAATTATGAGAATAAATAACATCGACTAAACTACCGATTTTATTTTTATTATGCTTGCTTAGGTCTTGAGCTAGATAGGTCATCACAATTAGCTCATTATTTTGAAAAAGTAAGTACCTACATTTACGTAAATTAGTCAATAGAACTACTTATTTAATGCCAAATTCATTAGGTTTTGATAATGTTGTGTACTATAAAATTGACATTTAATAAAACGCTTTTAAATATGAATTTATTTGGTCTTCCAATTAGATTTTTTACCGAATACCAAAAGGAGTGCTATAGAATATTATTATTATATAAATATATTGCAAAACTATTATAATTACCCAAATAAAGTTTATTTAGGTACTTTCACGTTGAAAATAAAACCATGTAGGTGAGGCACCAGGGACCAGACCAGGACCAAGGAGGCTGGCAGTAGTGGCAGTGAATGAATGCGAAAAGTTGAAAATTCAGCTCAATGCTGTGTTATTAGTGAAGTCTATGTTCAGCTTTGAAGAGACTATAGGTATCTTTAAATTAATTCATTACCTTTATTCGTTCAATAAGGTAAAAATAAACTGACGATTTGGTTCAACTTGGTGAAACTACCTCCATGTTTGATTCTGTTTAGAATAGGTACCTATACAAAATCGACGAAAACAACAAAATCGACGAAAACAACAAAATCGACTTCAAAATTCAAATATTATATTTGAATTTCGAAGTTGATTTTATTGTTTTCTTATAATTGGCGGGTAATTTGACGTTCCCATTATCCCGTATACCTATATGTTGCCTATAAGAAAGAAGTTGGAATCAATTTTCCACATTTTGTGTACGTGTCAGTTAATCAAACAGAAATTTAGAAATGAAGTGAAATAGATTTGAAATGTATCTCTCAATATAATGTAATGGTGTCTGTAAATGGTTTGTTAAACATTTTAAGCTTTTGACTGCCGACAGAAAACTGTTGAAGGCAAATCCTCCGCCAACGGAGGTCACCGGTGACCCCCATGGCGTTTAACGTGTTAAGGTTCAGTTATTTGATTTCGTTTACAAATTGAATTTACTCATAATTTTGTACCTACCTACCTACGATACATTTTACTTTCTAGTTTTCTAGTCTGGTCTTTTCAAGTTTCCGGACTTGGAAACTTAGTGATAAGCTAGGTGTGTCTATGAGATTCTGTGTTGGTACCTACCTACCTATTTTATGTTTTTCTGAGGTGCGTAGGCAGGAATTTCTTGTACAGTAAGATTGTGTTTGGTCTAAGCATAGACTAACTGGTGACGAAATATTTATCATAAAATAGGTAGGTAATGCTATTTATTTCACACAAAACACTGCGGTGTCCGAAGTTTGAGACATTTTTTTTTTAAGGCAAACGGACAAAATGTGAATAATTTATTTATTAAAGATGCCTGTACCTATATCACTAAGTTTAATAGTCACAAAAGTAAGTTATTTTATAATTACAAGACGTCTAGGTAAATTTACGATATTTTACAATCGAGACACACTATTTTTCAATCTAAGGAAAATGGGTTTAATATTGCAGACACACTATCATAGTGTAATTTACGCTTGAACTAAAATAACCTGGCATGATCTTGACAAACACTGGCTGGTTTATGAGTGGGAGTGTTGTGTTTAGAAACTACTTTTCTCAACCTATTTTGATGTCAGTCACTTTCTTTGTTGTCTTTCCTATTGTATTCTAACTAGATAAAGATTGCTAACGGATTTTGAGGACAACACTACAGGTTTAAATTAGGAACAGGCGAGTGCCAGGAGGTCGTTCGTCAGTGGCGTTGGCGCGGTACCTCTAGAGCCCTGAACCGATATAGGCCTACGGCAGCGGTCGAGGCTGGCCGTTCACACCACAACCTAATTACACGCGCACTACTGATCGACACATGGTACTGGTGTCGGATGCACAGCTATTTTAATGTTTGGCCAAAGGGCATTACAAGATAAAAATAACGATGCGCGACCACCGCCGGCTGCCGCCACTGCTTATCGTGAGCTTATCATGGCTTACATAAGCTGGCACCAGCACGTGCACCACCATGGCACCACGCCGTGCACCACGCTTTTATATAACTACACTCTGCAGGAGAAAACTGACGCCACAGTTATTTGCGCAGTTACCTAGAAACTTGATTTCGAAGTCAGAATAGGAAAAGTAGGGGAAGTACTGAGATAGTTTTCACCAGACACTACCATGTCTAACAGTCACTGGACATGAACCCTAGCCTGTGCAACAGTAAAGTAACGTGTTAGTACTCACCTTAGAGCCAAAAACAGACGTGATATCTCCCAACGGGACTTCGTTCACGGATTACAAGCACGGACACGCAACTCACACTCAAATATCACTAATTTCAACAAAACAGACGGTCACACACCACTCCCTACAATAATCTATGTAACACAGGACTTTTTACGTAAAATGACACGTTTAGAGTTTTCGAAAAGTCCATTGAACTGTTTCGGTTGAAATTTACGTCCAGCGAAATTATAGGTACGGAATGGCAACGCTGTATAGGCGACGTGTACATTTCGCGGCGCGGCCGCTACGCGGCGCTGCGGTCGGAGGGGGGCGGAGCCGAGCGGGACGCGGCGGGCGCGCGAGCGAGACGCCGCTACGCACCACGACGCCACGTCGCAACAATATTTTTTTCACGGCGTACTTATGGGATTCTATGTCGAAACTGCAACTGTTTAGATGGCGAAGACATTAGCGGATGATGGCGAGTGGAGTGGCGACTGGTGACCTTTTCAGCGTATCGCGTCACCGCGGGCGATAACGCGAGGTCGTCGGTCGAGCGTGCGACGTTGCCAACTCGCTGCGGCATTCGAGCCCACGTTTCCACAGATTACGAAAGTCGGCGAAATCCCCGTGGCCCTTTGATACCTGCCTAACGAACCTAGCCCTAGACACGCGAAGCCATGCGCTAACCTACATATAGAAGCGAGCGGTCGGCATCGGCATTACACAACGCGCAGACACTTTGAGTTTACTTGTAACTTCATGCGAATGGTGCAAAATGAGAGTTATTACGATGGCTTACCCCCTATGGCGCCGTTCCAGGTTTCACAATTTTTGCGAAATAGGACACCCCAGGGAGGAATTAGGTAGCTCCAATGCAGCAGTCTGTGCTTAGTAAGCGGGGTTAGGTAGGTATGAATTCCCTGTGTGCTATTGCGCCGTACCTAGCCATTAACATTTACCGCGCCGCGCCGGGGATTGAACATATAAGTACAGAACTACGTAGGTATAGATGTTTTAACACGTCCTCACGAAGAACTTTGTGTTGGATGTATCGAGCGAGTTCCTTTTGCGTCAAATCGCATGGAAATGTTTATGGGAATAATGGTTAGATCTAGAGAGCGAAGGAGTAATTAGTAGCAGTATTATGTATGTAGGTATGAGTCTTTATAAGTGTGATAACTTGTTACGTGTGCGTGTGCCAAAAACAATTGCTAATCATTGCTTACTTTGTGAATGCGACTCACGTAGCTAGATATGTTCGGAACGTAAGTAATATCAGACAAAACCATAGATAAATAAGTCACTATACGAGTAATAACCGTATCGCGGTACTTGGAGGAGCTACGAATAACAATTGTATTTGTAGGTAATCATTGAGATAACAAATGAAATATGCAATAACAGATGACGTAATAATGTAAACTGATAAAAATGGAGATTAAAATATGCACGTAGGTATTGTTGGTAGGTGTTTAGTGCCTACTTTTTTTATTTGATGGGGGAAATCATACAATCTGTGCTTCCAGGTCCGTGTGGGATGAGAGGGATCGTAAGTCTCTTACTGACTAAATATTTCTCCTCCGGGCTGGGTCTGCGGTAAATTATGGCGCTTACACCCTTTTTTATTATATTATAATAACTAATGAGGACACAGACCACATACCAGGCCCGCTAGCGTTAGCACTTTCAAAAATAGGTACTGCTGAATGTCCCATAAAAGGATTGTAGTTAATAAAGAAAAACATAACGCATAAGCGTTATTATTAGCTTTTTCATGTAAATAGAAAGTACCTAGTCAAAGGATCAAAATTTCTGTAACACATTATAGTCTGAATTAACACGTCATAGGTTTTTTATCCTTGTAAGTACTGAGGTCAAAGCCGGTGTCAGAAGTTTAAAATAAAATAGGTAGGTAACGTCGATCCTTTATTTTTAATCATCAAAAGATTGGGTAGATTTACGAATGATAGGTAAAAAAAATGGCTGCAGATCAAGCTGTCTGTAACTACCAGTATATCATGGGCTCGCGGTGAATCATCTTTCCCCATATTCAAAGGTCAGTTTACACTGGTTTATGTAGCTTATGTGCATACGTATGAATTTACCTAATTTAATTTTGTTGCATTACGATTTTTCACCAGTTGCCTATATTATGTTATGAAATTCTATATATTAATGTTATTTCCGTAATACAACGAATACACTTTGAGATTTCTTATTGTAAACTGAATAGTATTTTCTTAAAACACACTTTTGATTATAAACCATGGAATTTTTAAAAATAGAACTTTGTTTTCAGCAAATAAAACGACATTATAAACAGAATAATGTCGGTACCGGCCATTTTGTAAATAAGTATTACAGCTACTGATTTCTAAAAAGAATGCTATTTAGTTTATTCATGTAGGTATTTAGCCAAATATTGTAAGTAGGATCTTATTTTGGTAGGGAAGGAACTTACATACATATGTATTTGGTCGTTTAGTGATTTTGGTTTTTAACATTTAATATACCCATAAATATGGCTTCATCAGGCCTAACTAAGTACCAACTGTCGAAGTATTAAAGGTAAAATACCACAATTATTGTATTTCTAGTGTTTTGAGGCTTCGAGTGTCTAAAGGCCATAAACGGCACATAATAAAAAACGACAGATGATACATACGTCAGCTCGTTTGCTCTTTATTTGTCACTACATAGTACCTACTATATAAGATCAGTGTCGCTTTGCCCTGTCCCCATTATCTATAAAAATAAATCTTTAAAACTACGCAACGGATTTTAGTGCGGTTTAGTTAAAATAGTATAGAGTAGTTGAAGAGGGACGATTATGTATTCAGTATTTAATAATAACACTTCAATTGAAAACAACACTGGGACACAACACTTCGACTTTTTCTCAAATAAGTTATGCGTTAGTTATTTATTTTAAACTGTTATTTCAATGCATGGATAACTGTACCGCTGAACCGTCTAACAATGTCGAGATAGGTTATTCTCGCGTCGTCGTGCGAGACCACACACGGATTCTTAGAGTTCTTACTGGCACCAGCTGGATCGTTAAATCCTAAGATATATTTTATTGTGAAGATGGCGTATTTTTAATCTGTGCACAAAGACTTATAACTAGTGTATAGTGAAAAGTGGGATTTACATTGTGTTGTAAGTTTGCACATGAATTAATGAATGCATTCATTTTTCTTAAAAAAATACTTTAATACTAAATTGGGTCTCTATAACAGTTTAAAGTTATTACTAACCCGGGTATATCATATTTATTTACCTGCTGTCGTCGACCTGGCTGTATACCTATTAGAAGATGATTCAGAATGTGCATCTCCATTTATCAGTTCTAGGACCAGAAAGATATAAGGTTATGTTATGCACTTACTAGTTACCTAAGTTTCTGGTCTGGTTTTGTACGACGAGAACGAACGAGAATCCCTTTTTTTATAATTTCGAAAACAGAACACGAGAATTTCTTATTCAAATTTAGAATCAGAACGAAGAGCTGTCTACTTCACTGTAACACAATATAAAATATTTTTTAGTTAAAAATGCGCATTTTTCTCGTCCATTTTGACTTTTGAGTAGGGTAACCACGAGACAGGTACACACCGGATTTGACGGACATCCCGTTCTGTCTGACAGTCAAACTGACATTCGCAGCCTTTCCATTTCCTGCTCGCACGCATTTTGTAGTGAATGAAATCTTTATTACTCTTGTTCCATAGTTAATAAAATAAAAAAATATCTTGGAAGAATTTAAAAAATATATATTCACGTCTGTGAACTAACTTTTTTGGAATAAAATTGCAATGTGTGTAATTAAAAACTTAGAAATAAAGTTAATTAATATTTATAAATATAACTAAACTATGGCTACATAAGTACTAGGTACCTTTGAGAAGTTAAATAGAATAAAAGTCCGTCACAGTTTGTTCGTTAGTGAAGCTCGTTCCAAATTTTAGATTCGAATGGAAAAGAACGAACATGAAACTCTATTATTAGTTATGTAATGAGATGAAAATATTTTAATTCATAATAATTTTTTAAATATCTTTGTCTGACAGTTTTTACTTTCGCTATTATTTTTACATTTACTAGTTTTAACGCCACAAAATCAGTTGTAGACGCTTTTATAAAGATAAGTTTTAGCTTCATTCCTTTGCAATTGTTTATGGAACAAATGTTTGAAGGAATAGTTAAAGAAATCACCGAACGTCGATGTTACCGCAGTAAGTCTAGACTGACGAGCAGAAACGCTATGTTGTATCACTAAATGCTGCACACTACATGAGAGTTATTAATTATAATTTCGCAATAAAACTGTGCCTATTACGATTCAAACGAGTTGGCTTGTATCCAAAGCGTAGTCCCTATCTCTTTGTACAAATAAACAAGATTGTCTGTTTGTGATCCTAAATCAGTTTCGCAGTGGTAAACATCAAAAACTGTGCAATAGCGCTTAGAATATTAAATTTGTTTATTTTTTCACAAACACTTAGGTTATTTTGAACGAGGTTCATTTGTTTAATGGCTTCTATGTTTACTATACATACCTACGTAAGTGTAAGTGATGCAAAAATGCCTTAAAACTACGTTTAATGGAACTAGCTAGAATAACAAAAAGCCTCATCACTCACAAGTTCTGCAAAAACATAAAACTTTTTCTTGTTACCAAAACTCTTCGTGTGCCACATAAGGCGAGCAAAGTCAAAGGAACCGCCAGCGTGGCGTAATTATATTACTTCTATGTTTACTTTCGTCCAAGCGAATGTTCTTAGTCATGTATGCTGTTTATAGACACACATACAATCGTGTTTTATTGTTATATCAAAACAGAAGCTGGAAATACAAATAAAAAAGGCATTGGTAGCTTGTTTTATATTGTTACTTATAATAAATTGTGTCGTACGTATCCCATGGTGTGATCGTGTGAGGAAATTCTTGCTACGTTCTTTTTACAAGCAGTCGTATAATATAAGAATATTACAATGTTGCTGCAACCATGCCGTATTTAGGATTGAGTGAACAAATGAAAAGGGGAGGAAAATGTTTTTATTTGCCCTTAATGAAAAAAAAACCTTGTCATTTTACCCAGTGTTCTGTTAAACATTTTTTTTATTAGTTTGCGTTAGGGCGTCACGGACGCACACCCACGCGACAAAGTTTTTTACTTACACCCCATATCACTATAATTTCACTAACGAACTGTGATGTAGTTACCTTATTAATTATTCAGTGACCATGTAAAATTCAAAAGCTTAATGGGCTTTGGTGTGTAACAATGTGTGAATTAATCATTTATTTATACGGCGGCGGCAAGTATCCAAAACGCATTGAATTTAACTAAAACTTTTATTGAATTCGCCCGGTATAATACTGCATGGACGAACGACCTCCGCTTCTTCAACGACACCAATATCAGTGAGCCAAATCTGTGGTATCATCCTACTTAGTTGCATATTCATTTATTCAGTTTATTTTAAATACAGAAAATCTAAAACGAACTTAACTGGTTTTATAGTTCGTACTTCCTTCTTTGGATAAACAAC